GTTGGGGCGGGGCTAGAGATGTCAGCACTCCCTGGGCTGGCCACTTCCATTAGCTCCACCCCTTAGTGGTAGTGATGTCATCCCCTGAGTTCTGGCCACACCCCTTAGCAGTAGTGATGTCAGAGCCCTCCCACCCACCCCCAGCTCTGGCCATGACCCTTCACTTCCCCCCCAAAGTCCACCCCATTCTCAGGATCCCTCCACCCCTTTGTCCACCTCCCTCTGTGGGGCTCCCCCATCCCCTCCCCCTGCCCCAGGAGGTGAGTGTTGTCCATCCCCCTTTGCTGCTCCTGGGGTGGGGAGGATCTCACTTGGGGGATGTATGGGAGGAAGTTGGGTGGGGGTGTGCATATGGGGTGTCTCACCTGTGGGGGCAAGAGGGGAGCGCTATGGGGTTGGGTCTCCCTGGGGTGCTGTATCTAGGGTTTGAGGGTGTATGGGGAGGATCTCGGGGAGGGGCATTGTGGGTGAGGGGTGGGGGGGACTAAGGTGTCCCATGGGGGCTATCATTTTGGACAGGTGTGGTGCATGTGTCTCATGGGGGTGGGGGAGGGACTGGGGGTGTGTGTGTCCATAGGGAGTCTCTCTTGGTAGGGATGTGGGGGAATCTCTCACTTTGGGAGGGGGGGGGTCACTCCTGTGTGGGCGGTAGGGGGGTTCTCTATGTGGGGAGGGGGAATTGGGGGTTCCCCTGCAGAGGTATATGGGGGGCAGGATGTGTGTGGGGGTCTCTGTGTATGGGGGCCAAGCACGTGGGGATCTCCCCTTAGGGGGCGTACTGGGTTGGTGTGTTCAGCATCTCCCCTGTGCGGGGCGTACGGGGGTCTCCATTGCAGGGGTTGTGGGGGGCTGGGGTGTGTTTGTGGGGTCTCCCCTGTAGGGGCTGTATGGGGGATGGGGGGATGGAGGGCGGGGCTGGGCTCACTCACCCGCGGGGGGCTCCAGCTCTGCCCGGCGCCCAGCAGCATGAGGGCCGTGTCGGGGGGCAGCGTCTGGAAAAAGGCCTCGCTCTCCACTGCTGTCCCGTCCTCCTCCAGCACCAGCCTTGCCAGCCCTGCCACCAGCAGCGCCTCCATTGCCTGTGGGGGGCAGAGCGGTGAGGGGGGAGCACCCCAAGAACATGGGGGGCAGAGCGTGGGGCGGGGAAGCAATGAGGGTGTAGGGGGTGGGGAGAGCAGGAAAGGGTGGGGGAGCAGTAAGGAGTCAGTGTGGGGCGCTGGGGGAGCAAGGAGCTGTAGGTGGGAGCAGCCTGGGGGTCGGGGAGCAGGAAGGGGGAGGGGAGCAGGGAAGTGGGGGCAGCTCAGCTTGGCCCCCAGGTCCTGCAGGCTGATGAGTGGGAGAGAGGAGGGGGAGGAGCAGGCTGGCTGGTGGGGGACAATGGGGCAGGGCTGGGTGAGGTGCTGCAGGGTGGGGCTGGGGGTGGCAATGGGGGTCGGGGAGTGGGGTGGGGGCAGCAGGAGGGTCCGGCGGGGTGGGAGGAGCAGGGTGGGGGGAGCATGGAGGGTCTGAGCATGAGCAAGTGGGGGGAGCGAGGGTTTTTGGAGGTAGTAGGATTGGGGAGTCGGGGGGTAACAAAGAGTCTGGTGGGGTGGGGGAATGGGGTGGGCACGGGGTGGGGAAGGGGTGTCAGGGGGAGTGGTGAGGGTCCGGGGGGAGCGAGTGGGTCAGGGGTAGTTAGGGGGGCTGGAGGCAGCAGGGGGTATCGGTGGGGG